ATGCCTTTCAGCCTGGCCTGTGCCCTGCTTGGTCAGGTATTCCTACAAAGCTCTTTTAGTTCTACTGATAGATGCATTCCACTGTGTACACACCACTCTTGTCAGCAAGCCTCCTACCCAAGGGCACTCAGCTTGGTGCACCGATCAGTAGAGCTAAACTCAGCTTTCTTACTCTGTGGGCTAGGAAGCCCACCATTCTGTCTCATGCCCATCTCTCAGTTCTGCTGCTGCTGCTGCTGCTGCCATCATCTCAGCACAGGGATCTTGGGTTTAAGGACACACTCCACTCTTAACTCTTCTGTCTTAACGGTACTGAAATTTCCTGTTCTGCCTCTGTTGTTGTTGTTGTTATGTGCCGTCAAGTCAGCCCTGACTCATAGCAACCCCTCCCTGGGCTGCCGAGGCAGTATCACTACGGAAGTAGATTGCCCAACCTTCCTTCCAAGGAGTGACCGGTGGGTTTGAACCGCCAGCCTTCTGGTTAGCAGTCAAGTGCGTTAGGCACTAGGAGGGCTCATTTTAAGCCTAGCAGAATGACAAAACTGACCAATCCCCACATTAGGATTCCATACACCTTATTTCCATGGTCCCACTCCCACAAGGGTGCCACGTACCTTATTTACATTATTATTATTACATATTAATATATACTATATTAACATGTTATTGTTATTATTTGCCATCGAGACAGATCAGACTCATAGCGACCCCTCCTTGGGTTTATGAGGCAGTATCACTAGGGAAAATAGATTGCCCAACCTTCCTTCTGAGGAGTGGCTGGTGGGTTTGAACCACCAGTCTTCTGGTTAGCAGTCAAGTGCCTTAAGCACTATGCTATCAGAGCTCCTATATTAATATACAGTATATATTAATATATATAATTATATACCCAATCCCCTTGGTGGGCCACAAGCACCTTACAGTTACATAGTTCCACCCAGTCATCTGGTAAGCACCACAAAAGCCATGGCTAGAAGAGCTATACCAGGTACCACACTGTACCACAGTAGGTCAACTCCTTGGTCTTATACCATTATATACCTTTTCTTCTTATAGTTGTAATTTTATATTTATTTCTATGGTTCTCTACTTGATGCTTGTCTCCCTACTAGGCAGTTGTTGTTGTTGTTGTTGTTGTTGTTGTTGTTAGGTGCCGTAGAGTTGTCTCCAACTCATAGTGACCCTATGCACAGCACATTGAAACACTGCCCGGTCTCATGCCAGCCTCATGATCCTTGCTATAAATGAACCCATCGTTGCAACAACTGTATCTACCCACCTTGTTGAGGGCCTTCCCCTTCTTCATTGACCCTATCCTTTTCCAGGGAATTGTTCCTTCTGACAACAGGACCAAAGTAGGTGAGACAAAGTCTAGCCATTCTCACTTCCAAGGGCAATTCCAGCTGAACTTCTTCCAGGACAGATTTGTTAGTCCTTTTAGCAGACCATGGTATTCTTAGCATTCTTCTCCAACCACAACTCAAAGGCATCAACTCTTCTTTGGTTTTCCTCATTCATTGTCCAGCTTTCACATGCATATGAACTCACTCACTCACTGTCATCAAGTCAGATCCAACCCACAGCAACCCCTCCTTGGGTTTCCAAGATGGTATCACTATGGAAGTAGATCACCCGATCCTCCTTCTGAGGAGTGGCTGGTGGGTTAGAACTGCCAGCCTTCTAATTAGCAGTCAAATGCCTTAAGCACTACGTTACCAGAGCTTCCATGCATGTGAGGCAATTGAAAATACCATGGCTTGGGTTAGGAACACCTTTATCTTCACAGAGACATCTTTGCTCTTCAGCACTTGAAAGAGGTCTTTCGCAACAGATGTGCCCAATGCAATATGTCATCTGATGTCTTGCCTGCTGCTTCCATTGGTGTTGATTGTAGAACCAAGTAATATGAAATCCTTGACTACTTCAATCTTTTCTCCCTCCATCGTGAAGCTGTTTATTGGACCAGTTGTGAGGATTTTTGTTTTCTTTACATTGAGGTATAATCCATACTGCAGACCGTAGGCTTTAATCTTCATCAGTAAATGCTTAAAGTCATCCTCACTTTCATCATGCAAAGTTGTGTCATCTTGTCACCTGCGTATCGCAGGTTGTTAAGGAGTCTTCCTCCAATCCTGATGCCATGTTCTTCCTCATATAATCCAGCTTCTCGGATTATTTCCTCAGCATACAAGTTGATAAATATGGTGAAAGGATACAACACTGATGCACTCCCTTCTTGATTTTGAACCATGCAGTATCCCCTTTGTGGTAGTTAGGTTTTTGTGTCAACTTGGCTAGGCCTGGTTGAGTGGCTGGGCAGCTGGATGTTGTATTCCCCACGATGAGACTGGTAATCAACTTCATGGTGGAATCTACTGTGAGCAGCTGAGTAGCTGCCTTTGAGATGTGGTCTGCTTCCTGTATTTAAACAGGAGCTTTGGGAATGGTCTCCAGCCTACAGCACGCTTGAACCCTGCGTGTAGCTGTGTCTTTTGTGAGCAGCCTGCTATGCTCTGCCAACCTTGGCACTTACAATGGACTTAAGTTAATGGCCTGCCATGTGGTTTGGTATCATCGGGACTGTGCCTTTTTACTTGTCGACCTTGGGGCTTCTCAGCCTCAGCAGCCAGCAGCTGTCTGAGTGAAGAAATGCCTCTAGCTCCAGTGGGCCAGAAGGAGGAGGCAAAGCTGGACCCCAAGGTTGAAGGGCTTTCACCCAGCCTCTAGAGCCTGGCACTTTGAACTTGGACTTAAAGCCTCCAAATTGTAAGAATAAACTCCTGTTTGTTAAGGCCATCCCATTTGTGGTATATTTCTCATCAGAGTGGCATTAGGTAACCAGAACACCCTTGTTCAAACGACAGCATCCTGATCTATGTACAGGTTCCTCATGAGTACAATCAAGTGTTCTAGAATTTCCATTCTTCTCAATGTTATCCATAATTTGTTATGATCCACACAATTGAATGCTCTTGCATAGTCAATAAAACAGAAGTAAACATCTTTCTGGTATTCTTTGCTGTCAGCTAAGATCCATCTGATATCAGCAATGATATCCCTCATTCCACCTCCCCTTCTGAATCTAGCTACCAGGTTATAAGCTTCATAAAACCAGGAGATATGCCTGCTTTTTCTCACCTTTTTAACCCCCATACCTATCACAATGCCTGGCACATAGTAGATGCTTAAAGAAAAAAATCTGCAGAAGGAAGGAAGGAAACTAACATTTATATGGGCTTCCTTGCTATTCTCTGAACATGCCAGACATATTTCCACCTCTGGGCCCTTGTTTCTGCTGTTCCTTCGGCCTGGTAGTCTCTTCCCACCAAAATCCCCATGACTGGCTCCTTTCCCTCTTTCAAATTTTTGTTCAAATGGCATCTCCTAGATGAGGCTTTCCTTGAGCACCTTGCCTTAAATTGCAACCACCGAACCTCGATACATCTTAGCTCCATCTCTTTTATTTTTCTCTGCAGCACTTACTATGCCCTAAAATGCTAAATATCTTAATTATTGCCTCCTCCTACTAGAAGATTAACTCTGTAAAGGCAAGTAATTTCTTCCATGCTACTTTCTCAATGCTTAACATAATAGCATACAGCAAAAACTCAATAAATATTTTTTGAACAAATGACTGACTACATACATCAAGATGAAATAATGTCAAATTTTTCTACATTCAAAATTTATTTTAATATATATTGTTTTAAGTATGTAAAAATGCCAATTATCAATACATAAAACTCAAAAACTCACTGCTATCGAGTCGGTCCTACTCATAGCAACCCCTCCTTCAGCTTCCGAGGCAGTATCTCTAAGGAAGTAGATTGCCCAGTCTTCCTTCCGAGGAGTGGCTGGTGGGTTTGAACCGCCAGCCTTCTGGTTAGCAGTCAAATGTCTTAGGCATTACGCCACCAGAGTGCCTATCAATACATAAGAGGCCCTAAAAGTGCAATGGTTAAACACTTGGCAACTAAATGAAAGGTTGATGATTTGAACCCACCATCTACTCCCCGGGAGAAAAGACCCAGTAATTTGCTCCATAAAGATTTCAGCTTAGGAAACCCTAAAGGGCAGCTCTAGTCTGTCCTATAGGGTTGCTAAGAGTTGGAATCAAGTTAATAGGACACAACACCCATATGTAGGAAAGAGTATCCTTTGTTTTAAGATTATGTAGTTCCTAATTTTTGCTGGTGTTATTGTTATGTGCAGTAGAGTAGGACCCAACTCAAAGCAACCCCTCCTTGGGTTTCCGAGACAGTATCACTATGGAAGTAGACTGCCCAACCTTCCTTCTGAGGAGTGGCTGGTGGGTTTGAATTGCCAGCCTTCTGGTTAGCAGTCAAGTGCCCACCTAATTTTTAGATGTTAAAATATTCTTCCATTTTCAAAATGATGGTTGTAATACACTGTTGTTGTTAATTGCTGTCAAATTGATTCTGACTCCTGGTGACTCCATGTGTGCATAGTGCAACTACTCCATAGGGTTTTCAAGGCTGTGACCTTTCGTAAATAGATAAACAGGCCTGTATTGCAAGGTACCTTGAGGTGGGTTTGAACTGTCAATCTTTCCATTAGTAGTTTTTTCTCAATGGTCTCATTTACTAAAATAAAAAATGGTCAACTCTGTCAATGTTTATTATTTTTTTAGAAATTTTACTGCCCTATGAACTCTGGTAGCTTAGTGCCTGAGGCACTTGACTGCTAACCAGAAGGCTGGCGGTTCAAACCCACCAGCCACTCCTCGGAAGGAAGGTTGGGCAATCCTACTTCCGTAGTGATACTGCCTCGGAAACCCAAGGAGGGGTCGCTATGAGTCGGGGCCGACTCAACAGCACATAAGAACAACAACAAATATATATATACACATATATACACACACACACACATTTTATAAGCTTATTATAATTATATATATAATTATACTTATTAAAATGAGCAGCAACAAAAATTTATTTAAAAAAAGAAGAAATCAAAGTTAACCCAAATAGTTTACTAACCTTTTTGTTGTTCTCTGCCACGGAAAGCTGCAGTGCCAAGAGCATGGAGTCTGCACCACACACAGTAGTTCTCTCAGAGGTACCGAGAGTGTGCCAGTTCCGTCTAAACTCTTTGATCATATCCAAGACAGACTTCTGATAAAGCACAGCCATCTTCTTAAAGTAGGAAAGGATATAATGCTAAATTGCCTTATTTTAATTGGAAATTAATAGCTAACATGTGTAAACGAACAAAGTAAAAATAAACAGTAGACAAGAGGTCATTTCATGTTGACCAAGATTGCCTTTAATTAAATTTAAGAAAACAGAATAACAATACAATTCCTGCTCAACCATATTTTCCTCTTATTTAATTTTTTAAAATCTTTTGAAATAACAAAACCCAACTCTCAGTCTGAAAATTCATGCAAAACATATGTAAATTCTGCAAACTTATAGACAAAGGAATAAGTAATTAAAACTATTTAAAAATTTAAAAAATTGTTTTCAATAGAAGGTACTATCTGTGGTAAATTGCAAAAAAAGAAAAGAAAAACTGCCAATTCCTCCCATCCTATTTGCTCTTTCTTCCCCCAAAAAAGAAGTGGTCGACTTTTCCACCCATTTAAATATGGGCCATCCTATGCCTTGTTTAGATCAACAGAATGTGATAAAAATGACATGGAGGTCCCAAGTCTAGGCCTCAAAAGGCCTAAGCAGTTATGTTCACTGGCCTGACTAATATCTGAAGGACCTGCTTATAAGGCTGGCTATTGGCTGATGTTTGGGAACTTAGACTTCACGAGGGTTCCCACTACTATTAATTGCTAAGAGTAGTTCACCAGGGCTAACCTGCACAGAGCTCTGGTAGCATAGTGCCTACGGCACTTGACTGCTAACCAGAAGGCTGGCGGTTCAAACTCACCAGCCGCTCCTCGGAAGGAAGATGGGGCAGTCTACTTCCGTAGTGATCCTGCCTCAGAAACCCAAGGAGGGGTCACTATGAGTTGGGTCCGACTCGACAGCACATAACAACAACAACAACCTGCACAAACAGTATCAACATAGTTTATGCTGAAGATCTGCTTTCCTTCTGGGAGTCTGGAATTTTGCCAGAGGCTGGCTGGTATTCATTCTACAATAAAAACCCTAGGCACAGAATCTACAATGAGCTAGCTTCCTTGTTGGCAACATTTTACATATGTTGTCATAACCTGTTGCTGGGGGAATTAAGCACTTCCTGTGTGACTCTGAGAAAGCACTGTAGGAAGCTTGTAACTGGTCTCCTTAGACTTCCTCCCATGTGCCTTTTTCCTTTACAGATTCTGCTTTGTATCCTTCTGCTGTAATAAATTGGAGCTGTATGATTATATGCTGAGTCCTGTGAGTCATCTCAGCCAATCATCCAATGCAGAGGTGGTCTTGGGAACTCCTAACATGAGGCCTTGCAGCTTCAGCTCTCACTCTCTTGCTACTCTCTTCTACGTGAGGAAGTTCAAGCCAGCCTACTGGAGGTGCCAAGTAGAAGAGAACCAAGACTCTCCAAAAGACAACCAACACCAACTCACAGATAACTTGAGTGCAACCAACTTAGACTATCTAGCCCCAGAGAAAACTTATCAGTTGAACTACAGTCATACGAGTAATCCCAGATTCAAGACCAGCAGTGGAATCACTTAGCTGAGCCCTGATCCACAGAACCATGAGCTAATAAAATGGTCGTTACTTTAAGCAACTAAGTTTTGAAGTGATTTATTACACAACAATGGATAACCAAAACACTAGCTAATATGTAGGAGCTCTTTGTGCCAGATATTTCATAAAAGTTTAATATTTCTTAACTGATTGAATCTTCACCAAGGACCTATATAGTATTACCCTCATTTTACATCGGGAAAACAACTGATGCCCCATGTCACTCAGCAAGCAAATACCCAGACCAGACCTAAATCAAACATACTTAACTCCCTAAACTATGCTCTTAAACCATTAAATTATATAATCTCTCCTGATTCAAGCAAAAGCCTTTCAAAAAGCTATAGTTCCAGTGTTTTACATCACCAAGCAAATTCCTTTCTTTGAGTTTACAGATATGCCTACTAAACATTTTTCTTTTTTCTTTTGAGTACCATAGTCTCCAACATATTCTCATGTCCATTTTGGATAGTGTACCGTGTACATCCTTTTTACTGACTTCTAGCAACCTTTTCTTTTATTTTTATACGGCATAAACAGAATCCCATATGTTTACTAGGCACTTGGGTTTGTATGAAAAAAGGGCATTTTTTGAGTTTTGGGTTTGTATGAAAAGGGCATTTTGGGTTAGTATGAAAAAAAGGCATTGTAGGAGAATGCCATTTACAAAATCAAGAGTTTAAATACAGACATAATCAGTAATACAATTTAAAGATACATATAGAAGACTAGATTAAAATATGTACATTAATATAACTCCTCATAAAATAGCTATGAGTTATACAGGTATCCTCTACTTTTTGAAAGTTCACTTTACACCCTTTTGCTTTCACAAAAGATCTACATTAATACCTGTTTTAGCTAACCAAAGAGGATTTTCACTGTTATGAAAAAAGGTGAAAAGTGAAACTAGTACTAAACATTTGTTTTGGAGTGACCTGTGAAAGGTTACCCGAACAGCAAAAGTGGCCTCACCAAGCTCCTTGTCCGGGAACCGTACTCAGTACACCAGCATCAAGCTTTGAACTGTGTCTGTGAGCACTGTATGGCAGTTTATTTTAGGTTTTATATGTTATTTGGTATGACGTAGTAGATTATTTTTTTGTGTCTAGAAACACTCAAGAATTTTTCCCATATAAATTAATGGTAATTCCTTCTTCACTTTACACCATTTCAGTTTACCAATGGTTTCATAGAAACACTCTACTTTTGGATACCGGGGGAAACCTGTATTTCCTTTCAAAACATCATCTTCATCTTAAAAAAAAAAAAGAGTATGAACAGTGCAAAGACAAAAATAAAGCCTCCAGCTTCAACAATATGATCGCTTCCTCTACAATACATCT